TCAAGCCAAAGAAACTGCATCTATTTATATAAATACACATGGACAGAGAATATTTTCTTGGAGCACTAAATGTGACAATTGCCCTACTGTCTGTGATAAATATACCACACCAGCTACATAGTGCCCGACGAGGAGTTGGGTAGGTAGTGAAGAAAAACATTGACTGAAGCCTGGCAGAGGACTGAATTGTTGTCAACAGCAACAAACATACTGGGAAAGTCAAAGACAGTGAAAAAACAAACAAACAAAAAACACACAGGCATATAAATACTAACTTTCTAGGATCTTTATTGACTCCAAGTAATCCAGAGTAGAACGAGATGAATCAACGCTATACTCCGCCATCTTTATTTTAATATTAGATGCAACCATTATTCTGTAGGGGACAACGGGTCATAACTTGAGGGGAGTTAACACCCATGATTTTTAAAATGCCTTGATCAATAAGAGTCTAAGTTACAGGGAACATTATTTTCATTTTTCAGTGGACCAATAAATGCATTTGACAGGAAAATAGAAAAACTCTACCACAACAGCAATTAGAACAGCTTGCTGCATTATAAGTATCACTTCCCTGTCAAATTAGTGGTTCATGCTTATTTGAATCTGAACATAACAGGCCAATTCTATCACACCTTGCTAGGCTTGAACTTCCATCCAATCAGAGCATTCCAAATGAACATGATTCTCCACAAAACTAGAGGGCGCTCTGACCAAAAAATTGCCATGATCTAAATAAAAAGAACTGATATATATATATATATATATATATATATATATATTGGAACACAATGCAAACTAATTTATTATTGGTAAATTGACACAGGCGAAAGAAAAACACGCGTACGACAGAATAAAAAAAAAGATGTTACGGATGATTTTGAAGTGCATTTACAGCAAATACATGTTGCTACAATTATACTTAATAATTTGCAACATCCCAAATGTCCATAAATAATGACTACTTCAATTCCCGAATTTAGAAACTTTATTCACAACTTTATTAATTACATATATTGACTGTTGGTTATCCGTTCATTCCCTGCTTTTCAAAAATAACAATCATAAATAAACTTCTTGAATGTCAGTTCAGGATTTTACATAATAGCCTGCCTTTCAAAACCACTGATTTAAAAGTATACTAATAATGGAAGAAACAGAAAATACTTTATGTGTTGAGAAAAAACACTACTACTTCTATTTTACAATTTGAAACATGTACATTGTAATGGGAACCTGGAATTTGTTATGCTAAAAACTAAAGTTAGATTCAAACTGTGTGCAAAATATTATTGATGATGAGAGCTATTCAATGTTATATGCAAAACTCAATGAACAACAATTAGATATTATGATCTACAAAAATATATAAGAAACACCATTGTTTTTGAAATTGACAGAAAACTATACCTTGCAATACTGTATACATACTAACTTTCGGTTAATTCAACTGTTCACTTCTTCACAATTGAATAAGACTGTTCAACCATTATACCCAATTTCATTTACCTTATCAATTATACTATGTGTGTTAATTATTAGGTAAGCGTTAATAACTAACGATCAATAAACCATGTTATCCATTATATGGACTGAAACAAAAATAATCCAGTTGACTATCTATCTTATCTATAAGGGCGAGTGTGAGTTTTCCTATGCATGGGGATGTTTAGTGGTTCTTAATTATATATGTTGCATTGGATTCATTTCTATCACTTGCTAAGTAATGAGTGAGCATACACATCTAATGAAAGCTGACAGCTTTCACTGACAACAGCCTCTTCGTCATGCAAATATTCTTTCAAGACCTGCATACAATCCTTTTTATCCATTGCTCCCAGAGCAGTCGCACATTCGTGGCGAACGATTGGACTCTCGTTAGAATTTTTCAACGCGTCAGTCAACACTGTAACTATCGTGTTATCAGCATTTTTTCCAAGTGCGTTGCCAGCCTTGTTTCTCATTTGCCCAAGTATAAATGCCAATTCGTGTCGCAGCAGTATGCTACTGGCTTTCATGCCTAGCGGATAGATATGATAAACGGGCTATCAATATTGTTTGGGTTTTTGTACAGTAAACGTACTGTTATATAATATAAAAGTAGACCATTTTTATTTTCACGAGATATGCGTGTCCGAGTACAAAATCAGTCTCGTTCGTTGTCAGCATTTCCATAGTAACTAGTCTCTTAAATATATACTGACAAATAACTGTTTTATTTGTGTAACAATACAAAATCCAGAAAAGGTTGTTGTGCTGTGGTGCATTACAAATAATATCTATAAAAACAAATACGTACCTTCGGCAAGTGCAAGGACTGATTCTTCGCTTGTCTTATTCCTTAATGCAAACATAGCTCTATATCGATCAAACAATGGTAACGACTCATCCAGCAATGTGCTTTTCAATGACTCAACATTGTCGTCATCTGATGCTGGAGCAGGATCAACACTTTTGTATGGATTCTCGACTTGAATATGTTTATTACTATTCAACCAGTTGATTCTTGCCAGTGCCAATTGACAGGTCTCAGCAATCTAAGATTCAGTAAAATGTTATGCGTAAACGATTTTAGTGGCAAACGTGTGAGACTGTGATCAAAGTAGATTGTAGACGAATTAACATGTGCTTCCCGCAATAGAATATTAGTAGCTGTTATTTCGTTATTTTTTTCTAATTGAGTCTGTATGTTCAATCAGTTGATTCGCTTCAAACATTTATTCGGCTTACTTATTTAATTAACAAATAATATATTTTAATATGCGTCTGACTGCCGCACATTCAAGCTTTTAGGTTACACTAGGATATCTTTAGTTTTTCTTTTGTCTTTTAGTATTATTTTGAACATTATTCAAAAAATGTCAAACCCCATGAAATTCTACTTGTCAAGTCTCGGAAATTAATGGCCAGGTCAATATTTTACAGTTTTTTCAGACAGATAATCAAACTACCCTAGAAGTTGTATGTGCAAGGGATGTAAAAAAAATCTCCTTATCAAAAACCACACTATACTAGCCACATTGTCAGGGGTAGCAGAATTGTTCAAATGAGATATACATTATACATTCAAATACTGTACAATTACTGGTACTACTACAGCAATGCCAATCTGAGCCGACTTAACATAATATCATGACGGCCATTTTTTTTCCAACCCTGTGACGAACCATATACATATTACGGAAAACTCGCCTCTATCACTGGATCAAATCTATACTTTTCAAGTATATTAAGCACTGCGTTCGAACCAATAGCACCAAGTGCTTCAGCTGTAGTAAACAAAAATATATTTTATTTGTAAGTTGATATAAAATAGATTTAGTTTAAAATAAGCATTGTTATTGAGCACTAATAGTTATTATATCATTGAAAAATAAATTATCATAATTTTACTTTGAAGTCTTGTATTGTTTAAAAGAAGGTCAGAAACGGGAGCGATTAGTAATAATTCTTACCTGCTTCATGTCGCACTATTGGTTCATGACTTGTGTCTTCCAATATTTTGATAAGATATGGTATGGCGTATGGGTCTTGTATCTGTCCAATACAAAATACTGCCTCGTGTTTTAGCAGTGCTGATGGGTCGTCTAGGCAGATGAGCAAACTGTCTACAGCTTTCTTGCCGCCTAGATCACGCAGGGTGAACATTCCCCGAAAACGCTCTGTCATAGACAGCTCCTTGTTGCAAAGCATCTGTTGCATATTTTCGACAGAGATATTATCAGTCATCGTGGAGTCAGTATTGTGAATAACACATTACATGGGGGTAGTTTGTATTGAGACGTTTGTGTATCATTGATGTATATATAGAATGCGTGGGATCCAATACTGGTACGGCTTTATTCGACGGTAATCGAGAGATTGTTATGTGTTGAATGAAATACATTTTATTGTTAAGAGACTGTGGGCAAAAAGAAATATAATAATCGACCATAATAATTAACATAACATGACATATAATAGTCGACATAACAAGACTTATTATGAGGGATATTTTCGTCCTACCATATTAGGAAATGTGAATTCCAAATATGGAATGATTACGCCCATAATCGTCCTCTAATAATAAAAACAAACATGATGGCTTTTTGACTTTTGGCATGCCCATGATGTATGCTTGGATGAAAAAGATGTATAATAACAAGGTTATTACGAAAAAACCTCAAAAATTTGCACCCAAACAGAACGCGCTCGCATCGAACTCCGCTGCGCATACTTTGAGGTATCCTCGTAATAACCTCAACACGACATAATCGACACCACTCGAAATAGTAATTCACATCACACGACATAATAATCGGCATACCATGACATAATAATCAACATAATACGACATAACAAGCAACATAACACGACATAATAATCTACATAACACGACATAGTAATTCACACAACACGACATAATAATAGGCATAATACAACATAACAAGCAACATAACACGACAGAATAATCGATGTGATACGACATAACAAGCAACATAACACGACATAATAATCGACATAACAAGACATAGTAATGCATACAACACGACATAATATTAGGCATAATACGACATAATAATCCTTAATATAACACGACATAGTAATTCACATAACAGCGACATAACACGACATAATAATTGTCATAACACGACATATTGATTGTCATAACACGACACATTAATTGTCATAACACGACATATTGTCATAACACGACATATTAATCAACATAACACGACATACAATTCACATAACACGACATAATAATCGACACTCTTCGTCTTACGGTTGGTGTAAAAGTGCATTGTCACGACTCGCCTCGGAAACACGAGTAGGACACCAATCAACGCTGTATAAGTGATTCACTTATTATACACAATGCCAATGATTTGAATGAATAACACACGGACGCTGTTTGTAGCAGACATTTTCTTATGCCGGTGAATCACCTCAGATTTTTTTTAGCCAAATATGCGGAATATTATAAACAGATCATGGTGTAATCTAAAGGTTCAAGTTTAGCATATGGTCTCTTTGTATCAAGAGCTTTTATACCGGACAACTTCTTTTTACAAAATTATTAATATCTTCGTAGACGCAATTTATTTATTGATCTTCCAGTCGTGAATTTTATAAATAGTCAGCTGCCGGACATTGTCCGAAAACGCCTTGCTACAAAGCATTTGTTGCGTCTTTCCGAGAGTATTATTTTGAGCCAACGCTGCGATCTAACAAACAGCGCCACCAACGTAATATTGACAAATGAATCGGTGGATTCTAATCTTTGGAAGATGGATTTTACTACTCTCTACTCCGGCTTCCAGCAAGACTATCTATCTGTCATCCGTCACATACTAGTTTATTCAGCACAGCGCCACCATTTACAGACACGACTGTACACCCACACTAAGTCATCTTTTGTTGCAGGTTTCGCTGTGTTACCGTGAAATACGTTTGAAGCTGTTTATAATCATTCATCTCGTTAAGCTAACTACCGAGCTAATGTATGTGTTTTTTTGTGGCATTGTTTTGTGTTACCCAATCATTTACTATAAATCCACCTTAGCATCGAATTATTATGACGTATAAACATTACACGTTGCAATGTGAAGCAAAACCTGTTACTAATTATCCTAAATCTGTTTGCAGAGAAAATGGAGTTGTCGAATCGTCGACAGAAACAGGTACTTCTTCTACTTGGCCTTACCAAGAGCGGTAAAAGCGCAACTGGTAACAGCATCCCGGGTGAACACAAATTTCGATGTGGCTGATCTTATATCTGCACAACCAAAGTTACAGAGTATGGAACATGCGGTGTTGAGCGAGAAATCGTGGTCATTGACACACCTCCTATTCTCGATCCCAGTGATGAGATGACAGCTGAACACGTATTACAAGAGATCGGAAAAGGAAAATCCATCGCGAATGCCGAGAGTCGCGGCATTGATGCCATTATTTTTACACTCAACGCCAACGACCGACTTACAAAAGAACATGATGCCAGTGTTGAGTGGCTTCGCCATTACTTCGGCGATGACAATTTGTCGAAATACGGTATCGTATTAGTCACTAGAAAAGATCAGTTGGACGAAGACAACCTATCAGTCAAAGATTTCTTATTGGAGACGCCACCCTCTGTACGTGGGTTACTGAAGAGAATAGACAACCGCGTGGTAGCGTTCGCTAACAATTCTCGTGACAACGATGTCAGACAAACCCAAGTTTCAGAGCTCTTATTTATGGTTAATAGAATGAGAAAAGAAAATATAGACCCTCTCTTGTACATGGGAGGAAATGAGGAAAACGTGTTACAAATGGAAAGACGATGTCGCCGGAGTGTGAATGAGCCTAGCAGCGGTCTTGTCCAATATTTAAGCTCAGGGCTGTATCGATTGTATCACTATGTGTTAGACTATACTAGATATGGTCGCTAGAAGATTTGTTAAAATACAATTAGGCGTAGATGATTAGAACATCTGGGTTTGGGCAATGACAAACAAATCTGTGCATAATATTTATTTTATTCACTTAGTTTTTTGCTACATGCTACATTTCGTTTGCTTGATGAATTTGCTGTAAATTTTCTTCACAATATCTGAATATAGTTTATTCTTGCATAATTATCTCTGCATAATTTGTGTTCCATAATTTTTCTTTGCAAATTATTATCAATTTCTGAAATCGCCTCATATATGCGTTTCCTCGTCAAGGGGAATAGGGTACAGAGTGTGAATGAGTGTTTTGTTGAACCATGGTGACCGAGAAAGACTTTCTAACTATATACTATTATTACTTTTAAACAGCTGTGTCATTCGTAGTCAGTTTCACCGTGCAGCATTTGTAAGAACTCACTGTAAAGAATTGTACTTACATTGTACAAGTTGTACGGCATTAATAAATCAAAATGAAATAAAATAACGCCAGAGCTGGGCATATGAAATATACACTGTATAATATGTAATTGTTATGCGATCACATCACAGTCAAGTATGATATATTATGGTTGCAATTAGAATGTATGTTCATTAACAACTATAGTCATGAACTGTGTTTAATAAATCTTAACAAACGTTATAGTCATTAAATTTGAGCAATGTAATGTAATATAATCTATATTTTGAATTGAGTAGCATAGAACACACTCCCATTGTTTGGCGGGTATACGGGGAGTTGACGTAAAACTCATAATTTGATTATTCGATAGTTGCATAAATTTGCATTATTTGCCAATAACCAATTAAATGCATGTTGTTTCGCTAAGACAGAAACCCACCAATCAATCAAAAGTATATGGTTGTTCCAAAATAGAAAGCAAATTAGGTATCATCATACATTTTCAGAGATAATGGTGTTTATAAATATACATCAGAGGAGAGCGGGTGTTACAGACTCGTATTCCAGCTTGTGCGATGTTAAAGTGAATTTATTCAAGGTATGCGTCAGGTAGTCAATGTCACTATGACAACAAGATCATGCTCAACCTAGTTGGGTAGGCGAAACACACGGCATATTCATTTGTTTTTGTGTGGCAAACTGTTGTATAAGCACCCGTCAACGCTCGCACTTGCCAAACCACACAGTCATTGTTCACAGACGCCAGACACATATATTATCAGTATATAACACCCACGTCTTGAATGATGCCGCTTTCATAGGGCAGTGCCCGCCGACAATGGTTCTTGTAAAAACACAAGTACACCCTGGACTGTACGCTGCATCATCTATTCATGGGTTCAGCCACCGGTCACGAATGCTGACGTTTGGAAAGGTTATATAATGCAATGCATCTTGGGAAGTACACCAACGTCAACATAAATTAGGTCTCATAGCTGTGGCTTGTAAACTTTGACCAAAGTAGAATATATTACATTGAGTTCACCCGTACGCATACACTTGTGGCATTTACACACACGTCTATCACACGCATATCGTCTGGTCCACTAACATCTCACGGTAAGTGGCGTTGAGTAACACATTACTCGCTATATTTTGTGTTATAAGCTTCATATCATATACACATATCCCACCGCGTCTAGTCGGTACTTGCTGGATTGTCCTGTTCCCCAGAAAAACTTGTCACATACGAATAATGGACAATTGGAGCGCTCTAATATATATTTAATTATAATAATAATAGATACTTAGGGACCGATCAGTTTTTATGGCCGGGGCTGGGCCGGCAATTTTTTGTAAATGAAGAAACAAAATCAACAATGAAAATTATAGTTACCCCCCCCCCCCCGGACAAAGACAAAAAGTGATGTGACCCCCTCCCCTATTTTCAGTTCTTTTTAAACATTTTTTATAGTTAATAATTTCGTTTAGTTATAGTTAGTTGGTGTAGATTGTTGCATTTAATAGTCATTGAGTGAAAAATAAATCTTTCTATAATTATCTCATGCATTCAGTCGAGTCTCATGTACATATTATATTAACGAGGAATTTATCTGATGAATAGAAATCAGTCGAAATAAAAAAAAAAATGTCGATTGTAGTCATTCCACGTATATACCACACCACCCGTAGGTGCTTGACGTCAGCCTGTATACAACTGTGAACGAGTAACTCAAAAAGGGTAAAGGTTGACACAACATGCCAACAGAAAATTTGCATATTCGTTGCTGTCAAGAACAATTACTCTAAATACGTGTGACCACCAGTCGACCATTTTTGTTTAAATCTCTAGAAAAACATGACGTGCACCTGCAACTTAATATGTATGGTCGTCGGAAACAGAAATGAACATATGTCTATATCTAAGTCACCATATATAGTCTGTGTGTTAAGTTTGTATGTGACAAGGCAATGAGTGTTTGAGAAATGGCTCCAGACGCACAGACGGAGATTACCCATAAAAATAATTAATTAAACAATTTCGTCCCCCCTAACATGTAGGTGTCACAGCGTTTCACGTCTGCTACACTGTGTTTGTTCATAAACAATGCATGTATAAAATATCAAAACGAATTCTCTGCCTCAGTACGTGATTTTTATTACAGAATGTGCTCCGTTGTTTGAAACTATAGTCATAATATGCAAATAAATTTCACGAAGTTCGACGCAATAGTGGAGTAAGATATTAAGCGCAAATATACGATGACTGATAGAAATTGGAATTTAAGTCAATTTTTTTTTCTTCAAGTACCCTCAATAAATCCACGCATAACCTTTAACCCTAATCTTTAACCTTTAACATTCAGTCGTAGTTTGGGATTTTCACCACAGTCTGGGAATGTGAGCAGTATACGTGAAAGATGTTATTTTGTAAATCTATTATCACTGCTGTTAATGAAAACAAATCTTATCGCACTTAGTTGGCGAGAGAATAATCTATCAGCGAGAAAAAATGATATTAATAAATATCCTTCAATTAAATTACACTTATTAAAATAATTACATTACACAATAACACCATTTTGTCGACAATCTATTATATATTGCCATAATTACCAAGATTAGAAATCATAATCTCAATTCACACCACTACAATAATTCTTTGTTTATAATCAGTACAATTAATGTGTCATTTGAGTTATTTACAATGTTATTTATTGTTGATGTTCATTTGTTTGAATTACCCTGGAGAAACAGTTCTCAATGCATCACAAAAGTTGTCAGGTTATATTTCATACTATGTTTCCAAAGTCTTAGACCTATTCATTTTATAATATTCTCATCTCATCTTTCTGTAAAAGTAAGAATGCTTGGATACTTGATAAATATACTGATAGCGTATATGTATCACATTTAGTCTTTTAGGGATTTCTACAATTTTTTTTAAATGTTGTAAAATCCTATCCGAGGTCAAATCAGAGACCTAGTTCTCATTATGTAAAACGTCGACCACGAGTAAAAAATGTATATACAGACAGATTAGTTATATATTTTAATGAAGTTTAATATTTGAAAAAAAAGTGACCACGATGACCCAGTATGAATTCCTGACAAACCCAAAGTTACAATTTCCTATTGTGTAGCTACGTAAAATCCATCTCTATTTACTAAGCATGACAAGCAAAATTAAGTGCTGCACAACGATTGCCCTGTCAAAGACGAGTGATTAATATATGTGTTAATAACAACAACCTGTCCATGCATGACTGCATGTCATGAACATTCAATATTATAAAAAGTACTCAAGGGCGTGTGACAGAATGAATAGCTTAACAAACCAAAAGTAAACCTTCAATAGTCCACCTTCGGAGAATTCATCTATTCTTAGTTGCTAAGAAACAGATTTAAGTGCTAAGCCAACTTGTCCCGCAGTGCAAATTAGTCATTTTGGTGTATTATTTCAAGACCTTCATCATATTAAAATTAGGACACCTCGTCTGCAAATCAATTCAGTCGCAGAATTGTTGAAATAATTGCAATGGTGATTAATTTAGACGACTCTGCTACCAGCTGAATGTTTCATCATCAACGATGAGAAAATTATTTATTTGTTTATTTTGTATAAGTATGCCCTTGGTGAACAATGTGTGTTACAAGTTACCCAGACACACGCGACAAACGACACACACGCGTTTTTAAGTTATATTTGCGTAACGTTGGATGAAATTTATTACGAGTGTTTTCGCGCAAGTGATCTACATACACAATTTCATGTATTGACTATTTTGGCGCAATTGACCTACAGACCTTCGATTCGCTTTACTTCTCACAATATAATATAGCTGAGCTAAACAAATATAGTTGTTAATATTTAATTTAATTCGATGATCGTGTGTTTAAGTTACTTTGCTCTAACTACTAGTTGATTTCACGTACCTAGCCTGGGTAAACTGAAGTCTATTTATAGTATAGGCGAAAGGTCAATCTGTCCTGCATATATTGAAACATGTTTTGAAATAAACAAGGACTAAGTACTAGATTCTGAATAAAGGATGATGTCATGCGTGGTACGAGATTACGTCTGGTGCTGTCGTTTGAAACCATAGCGTTCATATGTAAATTAGTTCTCTATAGATGTTCGTCATGGATAAACTCGAGATCGAATTTGAACTTACTATTTAATGTCAATGTCCTGCATGCACCCTTGCCAATAAATTAGAGTTGTTGTATACGACTTGCATGTTACGCTTAAAAGTTAATAATTTGCTTTCTGATGCTTGACACGATCTCACTAAGAACCTCACATAGCCACTCAAAGCAGACACGTTACGCCACATTGCATTGCACTAAAAATGGAACTTAATATAGGGCATAGTGAATATACTTTTTACAATTACATGGGAATTTCAAGTCCCAAACCCCTGAAATAAATTCAACTCGATGGTCAGAACGGCCTACGAAGATCCTTGGGTACCAATATACCCGCCGGAGTGAAATAATAGAGATTGATGTCACTTATACGAACATAAACGTGAAACCCGAGATTCGAGCTCGCGGCAAACGCATTTCGCCATTGTAAGCAGACTATTTGGACATGCGC